ATTAGGTATGAAAAAATATTTGGATTAACTAAACAAACAGAAGAGGTTTTATCCTAGCTTTTATTAATTTTCAACATTTTCTATGGCAGTCATTATGGGGCTTTAGCTAGCACATGAGCACACAGCCTCATAAATGTTGAACACTGGGCTTTGCATTGTCTTCCCAAAGATGACAAGACAGTCCTAGAATACTTTTACTGGTGGATACTGAGATCAACATAAGCTTTTAACATTTTTGACTCATGAGATATGTAGATACTCAGCAGCTTCATTCATTCTCCAAGTGGAATACCATCTCTTTAGTGGGAAAATACTAACAAACAGTCCATGGTGAACATCTATATTCTGATCTGTGGACACTGTTTTAACAGGGAAAGAGATTTTCAACCTCTTTCTAATTCACAGTGTTTGGTCTTGCCAAATGAAATTGTTTCAATCAGATTTTTTTCTCTCTTCTCTCTTCACATGTTCATCTACTTCCCTCATTATTCTGATCATCAAATTGCTTTTCACTTTATAACAGGTGCTGGAGTACCTCTGTTCTATATTTGTTGCTAATACATCCAGACCCCAGCTTGTACTGTATAGTGCCAGCAAAAGAAAGCATGTAAGTCTTAGTCTGTGTGCATACATGAATCCAGCCCACAGAGGGATGATCATTCAGCTACATAGACTGTGTTTGGATTACTGAATTAATTTCTGAGCATCCGTTGCTATACAGGGAGTTCACAGAAATGCAGTAAAAGAAAATACATATCCAATTCATTGAGAAAGCAGGTTCCTGTTTAGCTTAGCTGACACAGGAACACAAAATACAGATGCTACAGCACTGCTTTGTGGGAAAAATACTATCCAGCAACATGCACTTGAACAACATAAAGCTCACATTTAGAAACAGGTGCAATCAGCGTTTTTTTTTCTGTCAGTAATATTTGACTAAAGTAAAATGCTGGGATATACAAAACTGGGGGCGGGGGGGGGGGGGGGCGGGCAGAGAAAGACACTGCAAACAGACTTCTTAGATTTTTTTAATCTACACTCATCAAAATATATTACCCAGTCTGTTGTTTATGACTGAATAATACAGTTTAAAGCAAACAGAAACCTTTCTGCTCCATGACACAACAGTACACAATATTGCCAGTTAAGGATATGCCTGTTGCACCCAACAGACTCAGGCTATGCACACGTAACATGTTCCTGCAATCCCCAATGAATTTATATACACTAAACAAACTAACACAAAGAAAGACAGTATTTCAGAATTGACAGGAACTAGCTGAAAATATAGATTTTCAGATTACATTTTTCATTTGTAAATGACATTAGCTAACTTGGTTCATTTCTACCTCCTACAAAACCCTCTACCTCTTCCCATGAGAGCCTTTTTATTTGGTTCATCAGTTTAGTTATGTGATTAATTTCAAAGTCTCCATTTGCTGTGTAAATAAAGATAAAAATAATGAAAGTGAATGTTATTTGCATATCAGCAGATTATCACAAATTATCGCTTCTGCAGTTGTTTATATACATCACCTGTCTTAAGTGAGAAACACAGTAATAGTTCACTTCTACCTTTGCCTTCCATCTCAAATTGAAAAGTTCCATGTTTAATGTATTAACATGAAATGGTGAAATGATCTTTCAGAAACATATACAATCTAAGAATAAATGCAAAAGGCTTGCAAATTGTTTTGTAATATTGTCCAAAAGAGAGATATCCCCAAATTACATGACATACCTCCTTTGGTCAGTGTTTCACTACTTTTGGGGGTTTTTTTAGCAAAACTGCTTAGGTAACAAATGACTAGTCAGAATTTAAAAATTCTCCTCATTAATTTGCAGTTCCCAATTTAGAGGAATTTGAGATCACAGAACTTAGTGAAAAAAAAAAAAAAAAAAAAAAAGTGCAACAAGGAAATCTTCCATGCCCTTTTAATTATACTTTGATTATTCATATTTCTGGAAAGGTCTCAAATTAAGAACAGTCACGTAAGATAGAAGAATTTGTCTCAAAAAATAAAATCTTATCAGTAAACTTTTCTAAAACATTTACTTATTTATTACATTTATAACATTTCAGGGGAAGTTCAGATTGGACATTAAGAAAATGTTCTTCACTGAGAGGGTGCCCAGGGAAGTGGTGATGGCAGCAAGCCTGTCAGAGTTCAAGGTTTAGTTTTAGGTAGTCTTGCAAGGTGCAGGGAGTTGGACTTGATGATCCTTATGGGTCCCTTCCAACTTGAGATATTCTATGATTAACTCAGCTATTCCAGGCCCTAAAAATAGATCTGTTTTTCCAGAGCTACAGACCTCACACATTATCTCCAACTAAATTCCTGGGCAGGAGGGAAGTCATAGCAGAGATCTCTAGAGAAAGACTAGACCTAAGTTTTCAGTACAGTGGTGGGGGATGAAGTCAACAAAAAAAAAAAATATTTAGGTTATCTGAGTACTTCCACTAGAGAAAGTATTAAAACAGTAAATAGTTCAGCATACCCACAAGCATTTAAAGGAAAGGATAAGAGTTTCTTTGACTTCTGAAATGGCTGTGGTTTTGCTTTTATTTAAAGAAAAGAAAAAAGCCCCATCAAATACTGAATTAGAAAAACAGTGATATTCCATATCCACTTTAGTGAATTTGCTGCCTTAAAGACTATTTTAAGATACATATCCTTTCTGACACAGCTCTACATCTATAAAGTAAAACATGAAATTGTCTCCCTGCCATTTTGACAAATAGGCATCAGAGCCCTGAATCCAACTGAAATGCTTTTGGAAAATCTTAAGATTCGGTCTGTTCCCGTTTTACAAGGGTAAAAGCCCCAAATAACTGAGAGCGCTACAAATACAATATTGTAAGCTTCCTGTGATAGCAGTCTTTTCCTCTGAATTTACACAGCACTTTGCACAGGAAATCAACATACAGACTCACAAACAGAACTCATTACTACTGTATAAGGCAAAACAAAAACCTTTCAGTTACCATGGAGCACAGTTTATTTTAAAGATTTGATACCCACAAAAGCTTCCAGACCACCAGCCATGGAAATTAACACTATTCAAAAAGCCAGTAGTGTAAGCATCCCCTTCAGATTTTAGCAGCTGCTATTCAGAACTAAACATGCCTCAAGATCATCAAAATAATGAGCAACATCTCTGCTCTAATACTTGCATATTCTCTTTAGTGACTCTTCCAGCAGAGCCAGCTTTCTGATGGAAATTTATTGACCAGATTCAGCTCCAAATTTTCTTCCAGTCTCACCATCATTTCCAGGCTTTTCACTTTGGGGAACAAAATTAGGAAGCTCTGTTCATGAACACTGTTTCCCAGTAGTAGCACAAATTACCTTTGAGCTCTACGCTTAGGCCCACACCACCATTTCTTCCAGTTGAATGAATAAAGAGATTTTTTTTAATGTTTCGTTGCACAATGCAGTGACAGTATTATGTCAAACAGACTTTTAAAGTAATAGCAACATGATGGCTGTCTCTCTCAAAGGGAATGGACTTAACAGGGTGGCTTTAAAAAAATTCTTCACAAAACTGCATTACTATTAAAGACAAGGTCTTTTTACCATTCATATAGGAATGCAGATTACAACCCAGTGATTGTAATAAACTGTAGTTGGAAGATCTTCTACTAAACACCAATTGCTTGTACAAAGCATAATTTTAACATGACAAAAAAGAACTTCCCACAGAAGTGTAATTTAAAAACAAACAAACAAACAAAAGAAAGAAAACGTCCATCTTGCTACTTAAACCAAAAAAATATGCCCAGAGCTCATAACCTTCAGATTCTAAACAGCAGCATATAAAAGATAGGGAATTTTTAGTGTATTTGAGAAAAGGGAAGCACAAGGCAAAGACAATGTATTTCTCAAGTGAAACAGAAAATTCACTTTTTACTGCATGGGGTTTTTCTGAATTTGGCAGTTTTGTACTCTGATTTGGCAGGTCACTGAGGAGTTAAAATATAATGCAGCAAACTCTACCTTGCGCTTTAGTTATGGCTACCCAGCATGTTTGTAATTTAACAAACCAAATACCCCCTGTAATAAAAGTGCTGTATTTTCAACAAGAAGGCTGTTTGTTTACCCAGTGCCTTGTCCTAATTCCATATTTGGCTATGGTCTTGAGTCTAACCAAACATACTTTAGTTTCAGTTTGATTTGAGCTTCATTTCCTCATCTGTCCTGGATAGGTAGAATGTGTTACTAATACAGAAGCAGCAGCAACACAGACTTCACATGTCTTCATCTCAGTCACAAGTGCAGGATGCACACACACAGCTGTATCACGATGTCAACAAAAGCTCCTGTATGTTTATCTCAAAGCTGCAACCACATCATATTTCAAGCATTTCTGGCAATGCACGGGCAGTTCTGAAAGCTTTCTGGCTTCTGGAACACCCTGAAATGTTTCAAACACCCTATGTCCTCATGTATTTTATTTCTCCTTTCCCTCGCTGGGAGAAGACACTGGTGAGTGGCCCGATCAGGAAAATGACATAAACAGAGGGTTCCTCCTTCCCAGCTGTCGCGATGGCTTTGGCACTCCAGACGCATACAAGGCTCTTTCCTGGGAACATTACATAGCGAAAGCACACCTTGGTGTAGAAGTTGCCCCAGTTTCGAAGAGTCCATTACCTGCCACCGTGAGACTATGGCCGGGCAATAAAAAGTTCAACAGTACCGAAAAAGAGAGGGAGTCTCCTCTCGCACTCCTAGTTAAAGACACCTGTGCCTAATTAACCCAAAAGAAAACAAGATCCGAGGTAATTTCCAAGCCGTGGACCATTGGGGTGGCACGAATAAAAAGCCTTCCCTGTTCCACTAGGCAAGCATCTGCGGCCAAGCAGCTCCAGCTGCGCTTGGGCCCGCCTCTGCCAGGGAGGCAAAGCAGGCCTGCCGGGGGCAGACCGCGCGTCTCCGTCCCGGGCTCACCGCCGGCTCGGGGTGCGCTCGCTGGTAGCACGGCTCTGCCGCGGTACTCACCGCTAGGAAACGGCTCCATTAGCCTCCCGGAATCCGAGTTCAGCCTGCGAGAGCGAAGCCCTGATGACGGGGCAGAAGACGACTCGGAGACGCAGCCACGACTCTTCACTCCTCCTCCTGCCACCGCATGCTCCCAGGACGAGCGCTGCCTCGGGCTCAGCCGGACGGCTGTGGCTCCTCACGCCGCTGTCACTGCCCACCAACCCTATACTGCCCCTCCAGCCGTCGGGAGCACAGCAGGCTTAATCGGCGGCTCCCCGCGCAGCAGCCTTTTCAGCACAGTAAGGCCGCACCAACTATCTTCTGCTCTGATTCCCGCCCACCCCAAGGCTGGGCCACACTGCACCGCCTATTCCTCATACAGACCCGCCTCTCCTCCTGCCTCACGCCTGGGGAGGCCGGAGCAGACGCTTGGAAGGCTGTGGTAGCCTGCGCGTCTCTCCGAATCATGAGGGAAGGAGTGTTGAGATGTCGGTCCCCTGCTCTGTTCGTCTGAGCTGTTTCGGGCGTGTCAGCCGAATGCCGGCCGCCGCCCTGCAGCTGCAGAGGCGGAATGGCCTGGCTGAATTGGGACCCGGGCGCTGCCCCGCAGTCCTTTGTGTCGCTCTGGGGTGCCTCGGCCCGTTGCATGGAGGCTCCGCAGGCGTCTGATGGCCGTGGCAGTGCTGTCAGGCCGGGCCAGACCGGCTTTGCCTGCGTCTCACCGACATGCTCCATTCGTCAAGATTAACCTTAATTAGTAGTTTTAGCCTTATTACTGCCTTACCTTCCGCCTCCTTCCCCACCACCATACTTCTGCTATCACGTGACTGCTATCACAGTTTTTTTTTTTTTTTTTTTAATATGGGAATTTTTTAACTGCTGATTGTTGGAAAAGAAGAAAATAGGCATTGATTAATCCTGAAGAACTCAAAATCTAAAGGTACTGTGTCTATTTTGAAAAAAAAAAAAAAAAAAAAAAAGGAAGAAATCTATGTTCAACTGTTCTTTGGGGGAGGGAGTGGACAAGGGCTAGAGGTCCACAAAAGCACAGGCCCTATTCCCAGTCCTGTACCTCTTCTTACTGTTTCGTAAACCTGGAAGTGCATTTTTTCACACCTTCGTGTGTTTCACACAGTTGCATTGAGAACCCTGTAATATAAACTAGGTCATAGTTACATTTCAGATGAAGTCCTTGGAGTTTAATACTAGCCTTAATGTTGGGCATAGAGCTATATGACTTTTAATGACCATTTACTTAACCAGCGTGTTCTTAGACACTCCTTAACATATGACAACAGCCCATCCTCAAAAGAATAACTTGTATTATTAAACGATTAAATCCACAAAGCATTTATTCTAATGGCATAAACTGTCTTCAGAGATTTGTTTTCTAAGAACTGATACTGCCTAGCTTATATTTAAATATATTAAAGAAACATTAATAACCATGTAGCTGACTCTGTAGTTATGGGGTCCTACACAGTGTCGGGCAGAGATTGCAGGGAGGTAGGAATAATATTTTTTGAGTGCTTCATCACTTGCTTTCATCATTTTTCATTTTTGCCAATCCAGAATCCTTAATTAGCATGATATATATCTGTGAAGCAGAAGAACTAAAATAAGCTCATGCTCCACTGCATGTGCATGAATTTCCATATCTGGATTTTATTATTAAAATCAAGCTTTAAGACCATACAGTGCAAACTATTCATACAGATGAAGTTATGTATTGAGGTCATTTCAAAGTAGCACCTATTTGCATCTGCCCAATATTAGAAGAACAAGGGTTTCAGTGTAATTTTGTATAGCATCACTTAGAACACAATTGGACAGAATTGAACTTCTAGCTTTGCTGGAGTTGTTAAAAGGCTAGAATTTCTACAATATGATTAAAAAAATTTGTGTCCAAAAGTTACCAATCCTTTTCAATGTAAAATAGAGCTTTTAGTTATAGCTTAGTGGTATGATTGATTGACAAAAGTGAAGAATGCTAAAATGGTTACTTTCTCCGGCCTTATGTCAGTTATTACCACAATGTCTTTTTTTTTTATTTTTCTTTGCCTTTTTTTTTTTGTTTGTTTACAATAAGTTGCACAGTAAAACATTTACTTAATTGTTCAAAGACCTAAATATATCCTTAAAGCATATGCAATGACTTAAATTTCATTTTTGTTTGGCAGCCTCCATTCAGCAATATCTTAACTGAGTCTTTTCCATGAGGTAAAATATGATTGGTAGCAAATCTTCTCTGGTCTACATGGAGACAAGCAGGTCATCTACATATTGAAGAACCCTGCCTTTGTCAGGTGGTGGGTCCCAGCTTTTAAGACCTTTGGCTAGTTGATTGCCAAATATTGTGGGACTATTCTTAAATCCTTGAGGCGGCACAGTCCAGGTTAATTGAGTTTTACGGCCGCTTTTGGGATTTCCCCATTCAAAAGCAAATAGTTTCTGGCTAGACTCGTGGAGAAGGAGGCAAAAGAAGGCATCCTTTAAATCTAGAACAGTTATACAGGTTAATTCATGGGTCCTGGTAGTAAGCAAGGTATAGGGGTTAGCCACTAAAGGATATAGGTCCTCGGTTATTTTGTTAATTGCCCTCAGGTCCTGTACAGCCTGGTGAGATCCATCTGGTTTCTTCACTGGAAGGATAGGGGGGTTAAAGACAGATTCACATTCCTTCAGCAACCCCTGATCCAAAAAAAAGTTTTCAATAGTGGGCTGAATACCTTCCCAATCCTCCCACTTTAGAGGATATTGTTTTATCCTTATCTGCTTTAGTCCCTCTTTCAATTTCACTATAACTGGTACAGCATTTTCAGCTTATCCTGGTATTCCCGTTGCCCATACTCCTGGGTATACCTGGTCAGTAATTTTCTTGCTGATTTCTCCTTTTATTGGAAGATCTGTTAAAAGTAAACTCATTATTTGTACATATTGTTGATCATTTACATCCAGAGTAACTTCCCCATTCTTAAACTTAATTGTGGCCTGCAATTGTTCTAGGAGGTCTCTTCCCAAAAGGGCTTTGGGCGAATCCGGCAAATATAAGAATTTGTGAACACCCATTTGTTTTCCCAATTTATACTTTAGCAGCTTGCAAAAATAGTCTCTCTCAGTTTGGCCAGTAGCTCCCTTTGTTGCAAATACCTTAATAATATAGTTTGAATCCTACAATATTATTTCGATTTTAGTTTAAAATATGACCTTGATTTAAAATGGAGTTATAGCAGCTATGACAATATAAGGTATGTTGAGGCCCTTAGGAACAGATAACTAGTATGGTGTTTGCCTTAATCACTATAGGAATTGTTATGGACTCTGAATCAAAACAATGGGTACTGGTTATGGATCTTGATTTAAAATGACTCTGTAACCATGACTCTAACCATGAGTCTGCTGAAAAAGTGTATAAATATGTGGTGTTTTGTATCTGTCATTGAACACATCTTTGGCAGAGTTATCCCACGTGTTCCCCAGTGCTGGAATAAAGAAGTGCCTGCTTATCTGCTGTGTGTAGATAAGTTCTTTCGCGATTGCGACCGCTAACAGTTTTGGCGACCCAGGTGGGACCTTGTGAGTGAGACTGGACGGGATCGGGTGCTGATCGAACTCCAGCCAGCACCGAGGAATTCTCGGGGAGAACCATCGTTCTCAACCCATAAAGCTCCTCGCAACGTCCCCTGGAATGGTAAGGCACTTCTTCAGAATCAGTGGAAAGCCTGCCTGTCAGACAGAGCGAAAGTTCCACGTGGTTGGGGCTAGGGAATTCCCGAGCAGTGGAAGCCTAGGCGCCGCCCGTAAGGCGAATACGAAAGTTTTGTGGGGTTGGCATCAGTGTCAGAGGTGGAAGGGAATTAAAGGAGCGGGGCCCACGGGACTCCTTGAGAATAGGACTCTCTTGGGCGCTCCCAGGAACTTTCCCGGAGGGACTGATTGTCTCAATTGAGTCACTGCGAGGAATAAGGCAAGGATTATTAGAAGAGGGTCTGGGCTGTTCATAAATCGTGAGACGTGGGATCTTGCATGGAACAGCGTATACCGGGGTTGCTAGCACCTCACTGGTATACATCTGGTCAGGAACACTTTGGTGTTCACATCAGTACTTTCTGGTCTTGATAACGGAAATTGTATTTTTCGTATTCTGTAATTTGTTTCTATGCTTCTGAATTTTGTAACTTTGTAGCTCTGGTAATACAGGAAACAATGAAACACTGTTGAAATACTATTGAGGTTTTATGCATGAATGAGTGAATGAGACACGTAATTACGCACAAAGCGAGTGTGGAGCTTTGATCCGCGGTTCTGTTATCCCGCGAGGGGTGCAGCCAGAGATAAGCGAAGTGAAAGAAAGGAACAAAAAAAAAAAAAAAAAGGAAACAAACAAACAAAAAAAAAGGTATACTGTCGGTTTGCTATGGCATTTAAATTTTCAAACCTGTTTAAAGAAGGGAGAGGGAGTAAGAGTTCTATACCAACAAACACTCCCTTAGGTTGCCTTTTAGCTCACTGGAAAGAGATGCATGATGAATTAAGCAAAAGTCAACTTACTGAATTTTATAATCATGTATAAATTAGAAGATGAAGAAATGTGGCCCCTGAATGGGACCTTAATTCATAATACTATTTTGAAATTAATGTCATTTTGTAAAAGGGAAGAAAAATGGGATGAGGTTCCATATGTAGATGTTCTTTTATCTGTGAGAAATACCAGAGTGGCAAAAAGAATGTCGGCTGATTAATCAAGTGATGTCTCTTATGGTAAAGGATAAAAAGGTTCAGGAACATTGCCTCACATGTACTTCCACCAAAATGTGCTTTAAACATTTGGCACTGAAGGGAAGGGGACATAGAGAAACAGGTCCTGAATTAGATATTGCTCCTACTGCCCCAACAATTCCTGCAGTTCCCATATACCCCCCCATTCTACTACCTTTCCCTGAAAGTGGACCTGACTCCGGACCTAGGCATCTGACTGGGCAATCAGCCCAGGGTGCTGATTTAAGAGAAGGGCACACACTACAATTTTGCAATTGTTTTTACAGATCTCAAGAGGTCCTTTAAGGGGGGGAATACAAGGGGGGAGAGGAGGATTGACTGACAGAACCCTTCTCGGAATAAATCAGTGTGCCTTTTGTAAGAAGGAGGGGTACTGGAAAAAGGATTGTCCAAGGAAGTTAAATAGTCAGCAAACAGCAGCTAGTGTGATGATTCTAGGAGGGTATGCAGATTGACGGGGACTGGAGGTGAACCCAGCTGAGCCTCTGGTTACAATTAAGCTGGGAAAGAAGGAGGTTACATTTTTAGTGGGCACTGGAGCAACGTTCTCAGTTCTGAACAAACAGAAGGGGATGATAGGATCTAAAACGG